AACAGCACTGTCACCAGCAATGTAAGCAGAGCTGATGCAATCCAATTACTGTGACCATCACAGTTACCGGCAGGTCCCAAGTCCTAAATCTGGTAATTCTCAGTCTGTCCTACAAGTCCCATATGCTATGCATGTGGGCACTTTTATCTGAGCCTTTCTGGTTAGAAAGCTCAAGAACCCACAGAGAGACCCTAAGTCACATTACACAGCATAAGAACCTGCATAGAAAAGACTATTTTTTGGGAAAAGGGAGAGTGGAACAGGTCTCCTGTACCTTTATATTGCTTTCAAGGTGACTCCTCTCATCATAGATATGATAAGCACATAATGACAAATGCATTCCATCCAGACTGGAAATGAAAACCTATATATCTCAGGTAGGATACACCACCTTGCTGTCGCTGCTTCATGGCTGCTTACTACTCTGCCAAAGCCAGATATTAGACTTTTGGGGAAACAAGGTTGGAAGGAGGTGGGCAGAGTTAGCTTTTATTGAAAAGCATCTTTTTTGTCAAAACCGTGCTTGGTTTGGTGACATACTTTGAAATACTCTCTGGTTCACCTGTTCTTCTTGGCTATTTCTCTCTACAAAATACAATATCTAAAAGTATTATTCTTAAAGAGAAATCTAATTAGTAAATTACCCTTTCTTCCTGTGGCTTAGCCTGCAGTTATCAGTCCAACAGGGCTCTGTTGAAGACGGTGGAAGTGCTGAACACACAATGCAGTAGAAATATTTTATTCTCCTCTGGAGAGTTATAATTCACATTCTTGTCCGTAGAGCCCTGGAGTCAGGTAAGGTTTCTAGGGGCTGAAAGCACGGAGTCTAGAACATTGAATTGACATTTCTTTCTTGGCTAATTTCTCCTGCTTTTTAAAAAAAATTATTTTTCTTGGAGGTTTTTTTTTTTGGCAGGATTTTAAGACACTAATTTACACTGCTGCTCTGGAAACATGGCACAGAAAAGTCAAATCTTACATAAATTATTCATCACTGGGTCATTTTATTTCAGTAAGATTTAGTTTAATATTTAAAATTAGGATGACGATTTGTGGAAACTGGTTAAAATACAGTATATGGTCACAGTGTTCACAGAGTGTACCGCATACATTTGAAATGCAGACTTTTAGTTTTTCAAAAACAACCAGAAAGCCTTTTTTTTTTTTTTTTTTCCTGATTTACTGGAAACCTGGCATTTCAGAAATGCTTACATCTCATTCAGAAATCTGATTCTCCTTCTCCGAAGAAATCCGGTGGGTTTTTTAAGTGTCGAATGCAAAGAAACCATATGTTGCGTGATGTTCTCTGCTGTAGGGACCATCTCAAGAGGCAGAGGGTCAACATGTGGCCATCACCTTTTTCATCGACAGCCCAGACATGAAGTGCCTCTGCGACCAGTCTGGTTGAAGCCTGCTAACTGCACACAGCAGTCAGCCCCAGGGTTATGAGATGTGTCTTTGCTACTGGGCTGGGAAGCTTAGTGAGGAAGGAGAATAATTTCCTGTGTACTCTCCTTTTAAGTGGGAAAATGCTGCAGAGGTACCTGATGTATGTGCTGGCTGAAGACCATTCTCTCTTTGCGCATATCACGGGAAATAGTCCAGTCCATGGACTAGATGCTGTTCAGAGCCACCACACGGTTGTGTATAGGTCTTAGCCTAAACAAAGAACTACAAAAGTCGCATGGATTTCAGTGGCATAGGGCCAATATTTCCATGGCAAAGAGTATGCAGTATTTTTAAAACAGGAAACTCATGGGGAACATGCAGCAACATACTACTGGTTATAAATTAAAGTTTACCCTTTTGTAGATGAATTATGTTATCGCTGCATCAAGGGTCATCAAAAAATACGTCACTGTACTCTTTTTTTCAGTGAATTAAGCATCGCTTCAGATTGTTTTCATATGAAATCTGAAGACTCTTATTTGCAATTTGGAAAGCATTAAAGAGAGTTCTGTTTGTTTTCGGTACATATTATATCATGAGGACAACTTTTTTTTTTTTTGCCTGGTAGTTACGTTCTACTGTTTAGAATAATAACACAGAATGAACTAACTTTTTCTTCCAAAGCAAATTACAAGTGATTTACAGCTGTTGATTGCCTCTCCCACTGCCAAAGTCAAACTAAACCCGGGGTGAAAAACAGCAGGAAGAAGTGTTATTTTAGGATAAACAGATTTTGTTTCCAGCTGAAACTGCACAGGGTGTTTTAGCCAGCAATCATACGGGCACTGCTGGCTGGCGGTGCATTAGCGCATCCGTGTGCAGGAAAGTCTGCCATCTACTGAGGCACCGACAGCCTCTGCGGCAGCACTCGGATACTCTGCCCGGTGAGAGCATCACCTCTCTGCACTCCTCTGCCTGGGACAACTGAAATAATTAAAGTGCATACGCTGGTAGGTGTGCAGGCATCCATCACGGCTTTGTTTAAAGGCAAAGTGGAAAAGGAAAAAGACAAAAAGAAACAAAACCAGGCTCAACTTTTCATCAAAGCTGAGTATCAGCTACAAATCACCGCTTCCTAACTTTTGCTTCCTCATGTCTGATGTTACCCAAAACCCACAGCAGAAAGTAGACTGACTCTCTATTTAATCTGACCATACATAGCAATACGCCTGGGTGAAAAGGACCACGTAAGATTATGAGATTTATACCATTTTGAAGAGATTGTCAGTGAGATTTTAAGTGAAGCTCTACAAATAGCATCGTGTGGTATCGTGGAGCATTTTACTGTTTTGACAGCTGTTTGCTTTCTGTGAAAAGTTAAATAAGCTCATAAAGAGATTTCCTCTCCCACCCCCCTCCCCCAAGATGTGCATGTAAAACATTAGCAAAATTAATGTTTGCATGTTTTCTTTAAATGAGGTCTGCTGGGAAGTAAAAGAAAAGAAACTGTACAATTGTTAAAGCTTTTCACAAAATATTTTAATAAGGATGTAACAGCTTCCACATTAGCAATTTTTAAACTAAAAGGAGCTGACTCACAGTCCATTGAAGTGAATTAGGATTTTTTCTCTCATTTCGATGGGCTTTGAATCAGACAACTTTGAAATACTAAATTTATACATTCATTTAACAGTACCTAATTTTTGGTGAAAGAAATGTACAAAGTAGTATCCTGCTTTTTGCTGCTGAGAAAACTTAAAGGGTATACTTTAACAAAAACCTGTAGTAAGTCCACCACCGCAAATGCTAGACGCCTTAATTGTCAACCGTACACTTAACACTGTACTTAAGCACCGTAGCTACCAGTACCATGCTACGGGTATGCTGCTACGAGAGATTTTTCCCAATCTCTTGCTTCAGATTGCCGGTAGTTATAATTAATACAACCAGAGTATTGTGCTAGAGAAGTGATTTATCACAGCTACTGGGACACCTGCCACCGTGTGACACTGTTAACAGAGGTGGTAGAAAGCAAAAAACATAGCTGCTTTATTTCAACACAGTCCGTACCGATCCTTATGTCTGAGGTAAGAGGGAGCAGGGGTAGAAGGTTTTGTTTAATCAGCTGTCATTTATCAAACAAGAAAGCTTCATTTGTCTTACGAAAATTGAGGGGAAGAGAGAAAATTCAAGCGAGAGAATTTTTGTGGGGGAGACAATGTAGATGAAAGAGATAGAAAAAGTGACAACCTTTTTATCTGAAAAGGAGCCTTCTTGAGCATCACCCATTTTAAAGGCAACCTTGCAAGTAGCCACCACAGACATAAGTATACAGTATAAATTGCTTCAGAGAAACACGTTCACAACACAGTGACAAGAATCAACTAAAAAAAATCGAACAAAAAGACGTCTGGCACACACTAAAACCAACAGTTCTCAGAAATGAAACATTAAGAAGCTCTGGGCCAGTATACTACATTGGCAACGTATGAAACCCATTTTATTTTTTTTTAGTGCAACAGAAGAAACTGGAGCTAGGGTAATAGCTATTATCAAACAGCTACTTTTTTTGTCAAGTATTTATTTCAGAGCCTGATGGAAATTTTGAAACGAATCCCTCTTTTTTCCATGTAGGCTAAAGTGACTTTGCGGCCACCCAGGTCATTCATAACTGTCTCAGCTCCCTTCACTGCTGTTTCACGGCTGACGGAGCAGGCGCAAGACAATGGCTTCACAGTCTAGTGCTCCCTTTAAACTTTATTATTAGCACACTTTATTGTATGTACGGACACATTCAAACATTTCCCAGCTCAGTGCTCCCCCCGACTCCGGGCTCAGCGCTCTGCTCCCTGTGAGTCACGGGACTGTTTATCTCCTGTTATCAGCAACCTGCTGTGCAGCTCTGAAGCACAGCAATAATCAGATTTTTTTTTTTTTTTCTGAAGACCTTTTCTGCCCTGCTTCCCCGAGCGTAGCACAGAGAGACAGAGCCCCAGTGAGGTGGAAGCTTTCCGCAAAGGAAAAGGCAGCTCCATGGCTATGCTGCTTCTTTTCTCAGGGCTTTTTTGCTCCCCTCTTTCTTTTTTATTCCTATGGGGGGACAGAGAGAGGCTACTTGCTCCTTCCTAGGGGAGGGCAAGATGTATGTTGGGGGCGACTTTTCCCAGCGTTTCTGCTCCCAGAAGGGGAGGTGCGTAACTGCCAAATGCTGAGCAGGGTCGCTTTCAGTCGGGAGGGAGTCTGAGCCTGAATGCCGGGGCTTGGCTGAGGCAGGCTCGACTCAGCGGCCTGGGGGGGGGGTCCCACCAACCGAAAGGGAGGGCAACCTGTACAAAAGGTGAGGGGAGAGTCGCTGAGGGACCTATACAGCCACTCGTCAGACAGAGAGAGGGGTGGCAGAGCCTGGCTGCCAGACCTTAAGTCAACCCACGAGTGCAGCAATTTGCTAAGAGGGTCTCAAAGCGCCAGCGAACGCACCTGCTCTCAAGGGAGGCAGATGGGGGTGGGAGGAAGGGGCAGCAGAGTGAGGACGTGGGGTTTTCTTCGCTCCTTCTTGTGCCAAACACCACTGTTGGTGGGCAGGACCGAAACCCCCTCCCTCCCAGCCTCCCCATCCCACAGCCCTGGCCTCGCTCACCCTCCTGCTGGGGGGCAGTAGGGGAGCGGGGTGAATGCTTCCTCAGAGGGTGGTAATCCTGGAGGTGCAAGTGCCGTTCCTGTACATGCTCCCTGACTCCAAGTTGTCTGGGGGAAAGTCCTCCACGCTGTATGCCCTGCTCTTGAGAGCAGTGGCATAGTAGTCGATGGGTTCCTCTGCAGCATTGTCCATCCAACTGAGGCAGAGCAGCCGCTGGAAGGACCGCTTGAAGTTGTCCGAGAGAAAACCATAGAGGATGGGGTTGGCACAGCTGTTGGCGTAGCCCAAGATGACGGAGAGCTGGCTGATGGTGGCGTCATCCTGCTCCACGAAGACATTGACCAGCTGCACAATGTAGAAGGGCATCCAGCAGATGACAAAGACCATCACCACCATCATGACCATGAGGGTGATCTTGCGCTCCGAGCGTTTGCGTTGCTGCCAGCCAGCCTTCAGGGCCACCATGCGCATCTTGGCAATGATGAGGATGTAGCAGAGGCAGATGGCCGCCACAGGCAGCAAGAAGCCCATCAGAAAGGTGTAGACCACAAAGACCACCAGCCATCTCTGGGTGGGCTCTGGCATGAGCATGTTGCAAGCCACCGTTCCATCACTGTTGGCTGCTGTGTTGGAGAAGATGATGATGGGCAGGATGATGAGGATGGATAGCACCCAGACACCCAGATTGACCATCTTTGCCACAGTGGGCCGGCGGTACCTAGCCGCCTTGATGGGGTGCACCACAGCAATGTAGCGGTCCACGCTGAGCACAGTCAGGCAGTAGATGCTGGTGAACATGTTGATGGCATCCACGCTGAGCACCAGGCGGCAGAGCAGTGAGCCAAAGGGCCAATGGTGCAGTAGGGTGGAGGTGACCAGAAAGGGGACGCTGAGCATCAGCAGCTCGTCTGCGATGGCCAAGTTCAGGATGTAGATGTTGGTGGCCGTCTTCATCTTGGCATAGCGTAGGATCACATAGATGACCATGGAGTTGCCGCACAGCCCCACCAGGCATACCACGGAGTAGATGAATGAGATGAGGATGGCGCTGCCCTGAGACTCACTCAGGGTGCTGTTCGGGATGCCGGTGGAGTTCCTGCCGCTCGAGTCCATGCCCCCCGCCGCCGCCTCCTCCGAGGCGCTGCCGGCTCCGCCCCCACCGCTGCCGCCGCCCGCCCC